TTTTCCGTGGCTGGTTTTTGGGAAGTTGATCACCAGGCCTTTCTTCTGAGACACCCCTGGGTAGACTCAAACCTCCAGCCTTTTGGTTAGCAGCTGAGTATGTTAACTGTTTACACCACCCAGGGCTCCATTTCATTCACAGCAATTCTATAGAATAGATACTTCTGTTATTCCCATTTTGCAGATAGCAAACTGAGAGCAGAGAGCTTGAATAACATGGCTGGTCAGGGGGAAAGCCTGCGGGCAGGGTCACTGTTCTCCTCAGAAAGTCTAACACACAGACTTACAGGAGGATCTGAATCGGTGGGCTGGCCCAAGGTTTCTCCCATGGGTTAGCAAGCTCCTGGGAGGCAGGGTGTGATTCACCTGCTGCTCCACCCCCGCGTGGATCCCTCAAGCCCGGCCCTCAGTGGCGCTCTCCGTAACTGTTGTGTGGCGTCCGACTGAATCTTCCTAACAGGTTGTAATGCCTCCTGGAGCAACAAATTCCTCTTTCCAAGTGATGTCTCGAAATGTTGGACAAGTTACCGTTTATCTGCACAGAAATGATTCCAACCAGACCGGGTAGGTGGGCCTTTTGTGATGAGAAGGGAGGCAGTGGTGGGGACAGGGTTGTTGGCGACACTTCCTTCAGAAGCCCGGTCTCAGCTTATCCCATTCCCCACATTCCTTCCTAGCCCGCGGATACGCTTCTTGGTGATCCACAGCAACGTCGTTAGCATCATGAACCAGGTGATTGGCTGGATCTACTTTGTGGCCTGGTCCATCTCCTTCTACCCTCAAGTGTACGAGAACTGGAGGCGGAAAAGGTAACCAGCTGAGCTCCCCGTGCCGGTGTGCTCAGGCAGGTAGGACCCAGGCATTCCAGTGCCTCAGCTTCATACTTTTGCCTTGCTCTCTTCTCTCTTCCTGCCATTTCTAGAAAGGTGTCCTGATGTGCAAGCTCTCTCCAGAGCCTCTGATAGGACTCCCAGTGCTGGGCATCTGGTCCCTTGCTCAGCTTACCCATCCCTGTGCCCTGCCATGAAGATACTTTCCCAGCAGCCACTTCTGTGCTGCCTGAAGCCATAGGAAGGGCAAGGGGGAAGCTGGGGGCTTCCTTCAGGTGCTTACCTGGGCAGAGCAGCCAGGTTCCAGTCACACCCTTTGTACTGTAAGAGACAGCTTGGAAAGCACCAGCTTCTCTAAAGACTAAGTGTAGCTTTCTGCCTTTTAATGATGAGGTCTAATGGGAAGTGGTCCCCTACTGAGGGATAGAGGAGCTGTAATGCAGTCTGAGTTTGGAAAAGGTCAAGATAGCATGCCTGCGAGGGAAGGCCAGTAGCCAAGGGGAAAAGGGTTAAGGCTAACTGTTTAAGAGCTGTGCCCCGGGGAGCGGGCAGGTAGGCAGGTTGGCCGGGCCACCACCTGGAGCTCCTGGAACCTGGAGCTCATCCTGCCCTTGGGTTGGGAGATCTGTGTCCTTTCCAAAGACTGATGAAGCTTCTTTGGGTTACCTTGTGGAATACCAAGAAGGAGGATCCCAGGAAGGATCATTCTAACCAGGTGGGGCTCTGCCGAGAAATCTTCCCTGAGGTCTGCTCATGCCACGCTCTGAGCTGCTTCTCCCACAGGTGACATTGTTCACCTCACACAGCAGCCCCATGAGGCAGGAAATGTCCTGTTTGCAGACAGGAAGCAGAGTGGCCAGAGTGACTGGCTATAGGGCCATAGTGAGCGAGTGGCTGAACAAGGGTGCAAATGTAGGTCTGGGACCCCAAAGCGACGTGCGCCCTTCCCTGAAGTGACTCTGGGGACACCTGAGGAGAGAGTGTTTGTGGACCTGAACTCATTGAACTCAGCTCTAAGCTCCCAGCAGCCTGTGCTGTCCTACCCCCAGAGCTCTGTCCCTCAGGCTGTGTTGTCCAACAGTGAGGAGGTGAGGGCGGACCGCCTGCCCAGAGTCCCCACCTCTGCCCCTGTTCCCTGTGGCCCAGGGATGAGCCCTGGTACAGCCCTCTAGGGTCCTCCCCTGGGCCCCTCGGGCTGCCATGCTCGCCCAGCTGGAGTCAGCCAATCCCACCAAGTGAGGCCGTGGGGAGCTGAGACCTGGAGCAGACATCAGATCCAGTCCCCTTCTGGGCAGTTTATTCCAACTGTGGGCCTGCTTATGCCTGTCAGGCACTCTTGGCAGGAACTCCAGGGTGTGATGGGGGATTTCAGACAGGCAGGGAAACTTGGGGACAGGAGCCTGCGCCTGTCTGCTCTGTGCCTTGGAGTGCCGTGCATGGTAAGCAGCTGCTGACGCCACACTCTCCTTGCTGTTTCCCAAATGGAGGCCAGAGCCAAATGCATGGCCCTCCCCACCAGACCTGGTCCTCTTCCGGCATCCACCTCTGTCCATCCAGTTGAGCAAGGTCCTTGAGCCTTCCTACCTCACCCCACACCCTGTGCATCCCTGGAGCCGATTAGTGTTCCCACCTAAGTCTCTTAAATCCCGATTGAACTCGTCTCCAGCTTTACCACCATCCACATCCCAGCACCACAGGGCTCATGGGACTTCCTAATTGGGCCCCCACTTCTCTTGCCCCTTTTTCCCACAGTGTTCCCACCAAAACCAGAGTGGTCTTTTCAAAAATCAAATCTGCTCTTGTTGCCTCCAATATCTGCCTGTTGTTCTTAGGATAAAAACAAAACCTAGCATGGCCTCCCTCTCTGCCTTTCCAGCCTCATCTCCCATCTCAGCTCTCCCTGCTCCAGCCACCTTCATGCCATTTCCTCTGCCTAGAATATTCTTCCCCATGCCCCTGGTACCTGGGATCATGCCTTAGGAGTCACTTCTTCAGGGAAGCTTTTGTATGAGCCCAAACCCCTATCCCCGTCCTAGAGGGCTTCTCCAGCTTGGGGCTTGTAGTAGTTGTGTTACTTTTGTTTGTGATTGTCAATTACTGCTTCTCTGCCACTGACTAGGAGAGAAGGGACTTTCTTTCTTATCGGCCCCAAGAGCCTGGCTATACCTGAACATAGTGGGCTCTCAATAAACCTTGGTTGAATGAGCCCCTGACAGAGGTGTGGTCCACCTGTGACCAGGGCTTCCATGATAAGGGCATAAAGTAGCTGTTCTGGCCACAGTGCCAAAAAGGTGTGTGCCCCCCGGCCTCCCCGGTTTGGGCTTTGTCTTCATGCAGCAAGGACTGCAGGGATGCCGTCAGCCTACCACGTGGGCCTCCTAGGGGGTGCTGAGCTGGGAGCCAGGGAGGGAGATGCGTCCTTTCTGCAGGAGGCCTCCAGACTTCCCTGTGGAAGGGCCAGGACTTGAAGAGGCATAAGTCTCAGTAGGGAGGGAGAGCAGGAATTGGGGGATGGGACAGTGCTCTCCTGGGGGAAGGCCAAGCCCTCCTTCCCCGTGTGCTGGGAGCTCTGTCCCCTCCCGTCCCTCCTGCTCCAGGCCTCACCTCCTGCCCTGCTTTGCCCCCGCCCAGTGTCATTGGTCTGAGCTTCGACTTTGTGGCCATGAACCTGATGGGCTTTGCAGCCTACAGCGTGTTCAACATCGGTCTCCTCTGGGTGCCCTCTATCAAGGTATGGTCCTGCGCCCCCACAGCCTGGCCCAGCCGTGTGGTGGCCTGGCTGCCCCTCACCACCCAGCTTCTCCCCACCCCCTAATAGGAGCAGTTTTTCCACAAATACCCCAACGGAGTGAACCCTGTGGACAGTAATGACGTCTTCTTTAGCCTGCATGCCGTCGTCCTCACCCTGATCGTCATCCTACAGTGCTTTCTGTACGAGGTGAGGGATTGGGCCTGGTGACTTGTCCCGCCACCACCCCCACCCCCATCCCACCCCCCACCCATACCTGCCATTTTACAGAAGACACAGGGGATTTGTTCATTCAGCATCTACTTACTGGTGCCTGGGTAATGTGCCAGGCTCCATGCCAGGCACGGTACCCCATGTGAGCCAAGCCCTCGGCCCCCCAGTCTAGAGTGAGAGACGCAGAGAAAGGCCAAGAGCTGTACAGGACGGGGAGGCCCCGGCAGCTCGTGACAGCCCTAAACCAGCCAGGGAGGAGGGAAGAGGGCATCAGCAGAAACGATGCTCAGTTGAGGTCCACGGATGAGTAAGGTTGCCCTGGAGATGGGTAAGAGGGGAGGGCGGTGCACCCCCAGCATGGGGAATGGGATGTGTGAAGGCTGAGGGGCATTGCGAGGGACCACGAGCAGTTGGGGGAGCCTGGGGTTCAGGGTGAGGTTTGAGTGCCAGGCTGGGGCTTGAACTCAGTCTTGACCGAGGGCTTCACAGTAGGTGAGCGGGGAAGGGCCAAGTTAGGGCTGACGGTCACAGCTTTTCTTTCATTTCCTGCCCCAGCAGCCCTTTCCTCAGGGGCTGCTCTCCCACAACAAGCCCAGCCTCCAGTTCTGGAACTTTAGATTTTCCTACTATGAAGCCCATGTGAGGGGGGCTCCCTTTGGGGCTGTGGCAGGGGAAAGGTAGGGGTGAGGACAGATTGCAGGGATCGTCAGGCTCCATCAGGGTCAATGCTGGGCTGGGATGAGGTGCAGGGTCTCCAGCGGGCGGGGGGTGTGTCCTCAGCACCCTTTCTCCTACGCAGTGAGCTCAGAGCAGGCACCCAGTTCTGCAAAGTGGGAACAAAATGCAGGTGGGAGCTGGAAATCTCCAAGATGGACTGAATTGGAGACCCAGATGGTTCAAAGGGTGTGATTGGTGCTGGGGACAAACCCCCTGCCTGCTGGAGACCTGGTACCTTGTCCCAGGCAGCCGCTGACTCACTCTGACCCCGATGATGTCTGGAATCTGCCCCCCTCGCTACGTCTCCCCACCCTGGCTCCAAAGCAGGCCTCCTTCACTCGGATGCTCCAGGGCCAGCATCCAGCCGCCACGCATTTCCCTTCAGCCCACCCCGACCCCATCTCTAAACCTGACCTGGCCCTGGCAGTTCCCGCCTGCGGCCCTGCAGTGCCTTTCTGCGCCCCTGACGCCACCCCCTCCCACTCTCCCTCTCCACCTCAGCGAGGCGCCCAGCGTGTGTCGTGGCCTGCCCTCGGCTTCCTGCTGCTCTCCTGCCTCTTCGCACTCGTTACCATGGTGGTGGCCGCCGTCGGGGCGATCACTTGGCTGCAGTTTCTCTTCTGTTTCTCCTACATCAAGCTTGCAGTCACGTTGCTCAAGTACTTTCCACAGGTACACAGAGTCTGCCTCTATTTTCACATGTCCGGTGGGGTGAGAAGGAGCCCTGGTGGCCCAGTGGTTAAAGCACTCATCTGCTAACTGAAAGGTTGGCAGTTTGAACCCACTAGCCGCTCCAAGGGAGAAAGATGTGGCAGTCTGCTTCTGTAAAAGATTTACAGTCTTGGAAACCCCATGGGGCAGTTCTGCTCTGTCCTACAGGGTCGCTAAGAGTCAGGATCAACTCGATGGCAGTAGGTTTGGTTTTGGGCTGGGTTGGGTGAGAGGGCCCTGCTGGTCTGGGGCAGCTTGTACTGGAGGAGGAGACGTGGGGTGAGGAGACAATGGATGGAAACCTGTGGTGGACGCCAAGGAGCCCCGCAGGAGCAGCCCAGGGCAAAGTGTTGGTCGTTACTGCTGCCTGCTGTTCCTCAGAGCCCGGGAGCCCCACAGAGAAATCAGCGGAGACTTCTCTGACCTCTCAACACTCCACTTGGTCATTCCCCTTGTCCACCTGACAGTCTTTCCTCACGCCTGCAATTCTGCTCCCTGCCACTGCCCCCCGTTACTTTAACAGCTGACACCCCTGACACACAGCAGGCCCATCAGGAAAGAAGTGAGGGGGGAGCCCACCACTGCAGACTTCACCCCTGTCCAGAGATGTTTCCCTTGAAGCCCCATCTGGGGACCTCCTTGTGGGCCATTAGCACCCAGTGGCCCTCGGCACCCCTGTGAAAACTCAGCCCTGCTCAGATCCAGGGACTTAGAGTCAAGCCCATTTTCCCTGTGGCTGGCATCAGAAGAGACAAAATACCAACGGCCCAGGACAGGGTCAGGTTTGAAACAGTTGCCGGCTGTGGACCTCTGAGGACATCGGTGGCTCAGTGGTAGAATTCCTGCCTTCCATGCAGGAGACCCAGGTTGGGTTCCCAGGCAGTGCACCTCATGCACAGCCACCACCCATCTGTCAGTGGAGGCTCACTTGTGTGTTGCTATGATGCTGAACAGGTTTCAGTGGAGCTTCCAGACTGAGACAGACTAGGGAGAAAGACCTGGTGATCCACCTCCGAAAATCAGCCAGTGAAAACCCTCTGGATCACACGGTCTGATCTGCAAACAGTCATGGGCAGGGTTTTGTTCCATTGTGCATGGGGTCACCATGGGTTAGGGGCCAACTAGACAGCAGCTAACAACAGCAGCAGCAGACCTCTGCCCCTTAATCTGGGGCCTCATGTAACTCACCCCATTTCCAAGGGAGAAGCTCCCTTTTCAGCTTCCCCAACTCTGGGAACTTTGTGTTCCTTGGGCTCCAGGGAAGGAGAGCACTTTGGCTTGGGGCAGGGGACAGTCTCTTAGAGGGCATGGAAGCAGAGCCAGACCCTTAAGGGTGAGCAGGACTTAACTTCGTGGGAGGAGAGGAGGGGCATTCCAGGCAGGGGCTGACTGCACGAGGCATGGGCAGAACGCCTGGGAGGCAGCGAGCAGCCCTTGGTGGGCTGAGCGGCATTGGGAATGGTGGGGTGAGGAAAGGGGCTGGAAGGCTTTTGAGTAGGGGAGGTCTTGAGGGAAGTATGCCTCAGTCCCTGAATGCAGGAAAGTTGGGGGCTGGGAAGCCTGAGGGCAGGAGCCCGGGTTGGGGAAGTTTGGGATCATCTGGGACCGGAGAGGTGGCAGCAAGTGTGGAAAAGGGTGGGAGAGAATCTCAGGACGAAGAAGGGGGCCTGACTGGTGGCCAACTGCAAGAAGACCACTAAAGGGGCCAAGATCTCCTTCCCTGGTGGGAGGAAGGGAGGTGGTACCTGTCAGAGAATCCCCAGGGGCACTGTGGTTATGGGGAAGGACATGGGGCTTAGGCAACAGGAAGAGTGGGGATGTCCAAGGGGACTCACCCACAGCCCAGCCAGGGCTGAGGTGCGAGTTAACTCCTCTATAGAGGAACCCGAGGCTAGGAGAGGTCAAATAGCCCGCCTGAGGTGACACAGTGCAGATGAGGGAGCTGGGATGTCCAGCCTGTAATCTTAAGCAGAACAATAAGTCCAGGCTAGACTCCCCAGTTTGGGGAGAATGGAGGTGAGAAGCAAAATCAAAGCTGCTGGAAAACCACGCTAGGGCTTTGACCCAGAACAGGGAGGGATGAGAAGCTCAAGAAGGCAGCACTTCCTCCACCGTCTCTGGCAGTGTGAGGTTCAGGGATGGAATGTGGGGGGCTCTGTTTGTTCTGCATGCAGATGAGACCCTGGGCCCAGCCCAAACTGTTCCCCTGACTGAGGCATATCAGGGCCCAAAGGTCACTGTGTTCCTTGGAGCCAAGGCTTGAGTACATGAGTGGGAGGAATCGAGCCACTTGTGTGTGGAGTGGTGGTCACAAGGGATATGAGGCAGCCGGCCGGCCCCCTCACCGCCCTCCATCTGTCTGTCCGCCTGCCCAGGCCTACATGAACTTTTACTACAAAAGCACCGAGGGCTGGAGCATTGGCAACGTGCTCCTGGACTTCATCGGGGGCAGCTTCAGCCTCCTCCAGATGTTCCTCCAGTCCTACAACAATGGTGAGTCAGCCACGGGCTACCCACCCACCCCATGGGTACAGGGCAGGGCCGACCTTCCAGGACCCCAGCCAGAGCTAGCCCCCCGCCCCAGGCCCTGCAGCCTGGGGAGCCAAGTCGCTCCCAGCTCCGAGGCCAGACTCCTCCAAGGGTGGAGTTGTGGTGTCCTAGGCAAATGAGGACACCCCCCAGCCCCTGCAGCCACAGCTCCTTTAGGGGTTGCCAACCTATATCCGGATTCTGTCCCCTCTGGCTCTTCACAGACCAGTGGACACTGATCTTTGGGGACCCAACCAAGTTTGGACTTGGAGTCTTCTCCATCTTCTTCGACATTGTCTTCTTCGTCCAGCACTTCTGCTTGTACAGGAAGAAACCAGGGTACGACCAGTTGAACTAGCACCCAGGCACCCAGCGTAAACAGCCCAGGCCCTGCGCCCTAGATGGGGACAGCTCCCCAGCGAAAACCAAAGAAGCGGTCTGGGGTGCAGGGCTGGCTCACGGCCGACCTGGAGAAGCAGTCTTTCTCGGGGCCACACGCCTTAAACTCCAAGCAGCCTGCCTTTGTCCAGGACCCTCCTGGGCCCAGAAGGAACCTCTCCCTGGGAGAGACACCTGACTCTGCTCCAAGACTAAAAGCCAGACTGCTGGCAACCCCTGCTCAGCCTCCCCAGGGGTCTCAGCCCCTCTGGGCCTTACGGGCCAGGCAGCTCCTCCTGCATCTTGATGCCGCCATCTCTCTTTTCTTTAAGGCTTCAGGCAGCACACACAGGTTTCAACAGCCGTCCCAGGCAGGATTGGGCACTGAGCTTGGAGCGGAAGGCCTTGCCCCAAACAACCAGTGTTTCTGGGAGCAGCCTAAATGGCTGACCTCGCAGCCAGGAGAGCCAAGGGCGCTTTGCTGCCACTGCTGTGTTCCCCGAGAGCAAGTAGCCAGGTGCTGTGGCCGGTGGACCCTGAGGTGCTGGTGCTGGTGGCAGAGGGGCTAGGACTTTGGGGTTAGGCCTGGGGTCCTTCCTCTGAAGGCCACATTCTCTGAGCACTCACATTCCTGACACGGACTCTGTCTACGTAACTCGGCTTCCATGACTGCAGCAGCAGGTGGCCCGGGCCAGGGCCTGGTAAAGACAGTATTTCTCAGCCCCGAGGTGCCCACCACATTGGTTCTGGACTGGACTCATGCCCAGAGCCCTCTGGGTCTTTATCACATGGGGTCAGATCATCATACTAACCCTTTCAGAGTTTTTGGAGGGATGTTTTGGAAGTGCGTGGCTTACTTTTCTCCTGCCCTCTCTGCCTACCTCCACTTCCCCAGAGTCAGGACCAGGACCGCTGGAGCCCCTCCTGCACCTTACCCTGCGTCTGGAATGCAGGACACGCACACGCGCGCGCGCGCACACACACACACCCCACACACGCACACACACCCCACACACACCCCACACACGCACACACACCACACATACACACACACCACACACACACTCCCAGTCAGTGCCTCAGAGGCCTGTCAGACCTGCTGAAAGTGGGGGCAGAGGGAGGTACCCTGCCCTCACTTTCCCAGCCCCCTGTCTGAGGTGCACCAATCTTGTTGGCTGTTCAGGGACCTCAGATAAGGACTTGAGACCACCTCACACAATCCTCAAGAGCCCAAGTCCCCTTCCTTCCCACCCAAGCCGTCACGCCTCCTGTGGTGGGGGGGGGAGGTGGGGATGACGTGCCTTGTACTTGCCTTGAGTTTCTACTCCACTCTCAGACTTTGTTAGTACAAGGTCAGTGTGAAGGGCCTGTATCCTTAATTAAAGCCTGGCTTGTGTCCTTTTTTCTTGCTCTGAGCATTTGCTAGATGCAGAGGAAGGTGTATCGGCCATCAGAATCAAGCCCTCAGGGCTTGGTGAGACGGCCATACTAACTTTCTTGTAAGCAAACACCCAGGGTCACGAAGCTCACCGATCACACTGACCCAGCCCTTTGTCAGGGGGAGCCCTCGGGCAGCACAGGATGTCTGCTGGCTCCAGGACCTGGCCAGGTAGGTCTCCCACATACTGTCTTTGCCATTAGCAGGGGCAAGGCTGAGGCTGGGGGTGTAAGCGCCGTGGGATGAGGTCCTTAAGGGCTCGCGTCCACTGAGGGAGGCACTTAGTTTCCAAAGTCTTCCTCTCACCAGCTGTAACAAATACTGTTTCAGGGTCTTGTTTTCCCCGAAACAGAAACTGCAGCTTGACCGAGCCCCACAGACCCATTTGGGCCAGCCAGTGATTTTTTTAATTTGGTAATTGTTGGGTCCTTCCAGTTGGAGGTGGGAGGCACACCTTAAAAATGGGAACTAGTACCTGAAATTCCAAAATCTTGGCTTTTCTTGAAACATCTGAATTGGCCGTGCTAGGTAGGCCTGCATTCTGCCTGCCAACAGTGTCCTGGGGCTGCATATGCTGCCAGCGCTGGACAAGGCAGAGGGACCCATGCTCCCAGTTCACCCCCAACCCGGCCAGATCTCAGCCCTTAGCAACATTTGAGGTGCATCCCTACCTGTGATAAATCCAGCGCTCTTAAGGGTCTTAGGGGGCAGGTGTTTTTCCCATGAACCCCTTGGTGTCCATGAGGCCCCTCGCAGTGGGCTGATGCTAAGTGACCCAAGGAAAGTTGGGGGCACTTAGAGGTCCACAGCAACACCCCAGAGACCACACACTCCAGGCTCCCCTCCCCAGTTCCATGAAGGTGTTCCCAGATCCCTCCCCCAGATGTGGTCCTTGCCAAGTACAGCATGTTGCCACTGGTGCCAAGGCTCCACGAGACTTGCCAGGCAGGCAGGTAGCTGGGCTTCAGCCAGAGCTGCAGGGGCCAGGGCAGCCACCCTTAAAACCAGCGCTCTTGCCCGCAGCCCACCCCCGAGTCCCCTAGCCCATGCTCCAGCAGAGACCCCTGTGAATCCCAGCGTTGTTTATTATCAGGTGTGGGCGGCATCTCTCTGCCCATTTCCAGTCACAACAGTAAAGGCTTGTTAACTTGCCAGGAGTGGTTGTTGCCCCAGATGTGAATTAGTAAGAGCTAAATTCAAAAGTAGAGTTGGCATCTCCAAATAGTAAGATAAAAATGCTTTGTATCGAAGTTGTGATTAAAAAAATACTAAAGTTAAACCCACAGGCATAGAGAAACTGGCAATCCTGAGAACTGCCCTGAAATGTCAGCTTGGAATTTCATCTAGATCCTGTAAGCAGGTGAACCCTGGGGAGGCCAGCGCCGTCGGGGGAGTGGGTGCGATGGGGTGAACCGTGAGCCTGCCCGGCTGCCGCGGGTGAACCTCCACAATGCCTCTGGTAGTGTGTGTAGCACGTTCCCCACTGGGCAGTGCGGGGAAGAGCACGGGGCACAGGCACTGCAGAGTTTAGACACCGGGCAGGACCGAGCCTGCGGCCAGGGCAAAGAGTGGGGAGAGGCCTGGCCTCGCCTGTCATTTTCCAGCATTTTGGCAGCTCTCAGGAAGTGGTGTCTCCCCATTTGCCAAGGCACTGCCATGGCCAGGCAGCAGGGCCTGGGGGCTGAACCTGCCCACTGGCTACAACTCAGCTCCAGGCCCGTTTCTGGTCCTCAGTGTCCAAGGGAGGAAACCGGTCCCAGAGTCTCAGGCCAAGGTGGGAGAGGGGAGGGAGAGGCTGCATCAGCCTCAAGGAAATGCCTTTGGGACCAGCTCTCGACCTCCTGAGCTGAGGCCTAGCACTCAGCAGAAGCCAGCACAAGGGGCCAATGGGGTAGAAGTGGTGTCACTGTACAGAGGTGGGCAGGCACAAGTCGGGGACCGTGGCAGGCTGCTAGGACAGCATCGACTGCTGCACGGCCTTCTGCAGCGACTGCCGCGTCACCAGCAGGCGCACCACCTCCTCTGAGCGCTTGGTGAGCCGCTTCCGGGCCTGGTCGTGGGTGACCATGGTCATGTCCCATCCATTCACCTGGCCCAGAGAGAGAGAGCATAGCCCACCTTAGTGCTCTGCCCTCTGGGATCTGGAAGCGGGACAGGCTTTGGGGAGTGGTGGGGGAGGCCTTGGTCACCCGGCTAAGCCCCTAAGCTGACGTCTCCAGGCTGAGGGAAACCAAGCACTGTGGCCGAAGCACGCAAAGGAGACAGCGCCAGCTTCTCCTGGGGGCATTGCCAGCATGGGCTCCAGAACAGCATTGGTGAGTCTCTCCCTGGTGCCCTGGGAGGGCTGGGAGGTAGGGGCGACCCCCAACCGAGGAGTACTTCAGACCCTCTAGCCCAAGCGGTTTTCCTCCTTTGGGACACCTGTTACCTGCATGATCTTGTCACCGATCTGCAGCCCAGCAATTTCAGCAGGGCCTCCTTCAGACACCCGTGTGACGTAAATGCCCTGGAAAGAGACGGCCCAGGTCCCTGGACTGGCCCCTTACCCATGGAACAGACCCCAGCATGACATACTGTCAGCGCTCCTTCTGTCCCTGCATGTAGCCTCCCCGGGGGTACATGGCCAGTGAAGGTTGTGCCAGGACAGCCAGGCGGGAAAGCTTGGTTGCCCCACAGATATTGCACCCCCTGCTGATGGCCTCCTCCTGGGCTCTGCCAGAGCACGCCATCCGAGGGGGTGGGAGGCCCAAGGAGGGCTGGTGAGGACTGCTCCCCACCCCTACCCCTACTTATTCCCACCAGATCATTTCTTGGACCTTCACAGAGAGGACTGTTGGGAGAGATGAGGTCTGCGCCTTCCACCCTGGCCCAGGGAGCAGAGATACCCACCACCTCAGGTCTCTGTGCCCCACAGGGAGGTCCTAGGACCCTGCCCCCCGCCCCCCTCACCTTGTCCGTCTTATCTTCCGAGAACGGATTCTGGGAGGGATCCTGGTCAATTCCACCTCCAATGCTGAAGCCCAGGATTAAGTTTTCACCTTGACGCAGCTTATGAATTTCAACTCTTTGCTGGCAAAGAAAACAAACACGAGCTGAGAGTTATGTGGAGAACAGATCTGGTCTGTGTCCCCAGCAGCAGCCTGGGGACTGCTGGGGCTGCTCAGAACCATGCCAAGGGGGCAGGGCCCAGGGTCCTTGGCAAGAATCCAGCTGGTCACCAGCCTGGGACACTGGGCAGCTGGGACTCAGAACTCAGACATAATGACCCACCCCCACAGCCTTCTGTTCCCAACCTCTCCCCCTTCCCCTGTTGGTCTCAGGCACCAGCCTTGGTCCACATGTGAGCTAAACTTACCCTCCCGGCCCAAGAGCCAGCGGAGGGTCCACACAAGGCAAGAGGGGTCAGGCCCTACAGTGGGGCAGGCAGCCCAGCGATGGATTACCCAGTAAGCAAGGTACACACGGGCTTACTTCCTAATCTGTAGTGCACAGTTTCACCCGTGCACCCATGTGAAATTGTTTGGTACCGATTAGTAAATAAACACAAGTAAGCCCATACATACCTTGCTTACTGGTTAATCTGCCCCTGTTCAGGCCCCTTGCTGAGGCAGCTCAGATTGCCAAGCGAGCCCTGCCAGGGGCAGGACGGGGGTGCTTGGGAAAGGTGGAGAGGATCAAACACGCACAGCAAAGAGAGGAAGGGCTTCCCTGACCAAAGGAACAAGATGCTGTGGATCCATCTCCATGAGGCCGGCACGTGCGGCACAGGTCCTGGACCTAGAGGTAAGACGAGGCTGAAGCTGCGGCCAGGTCAAGAAGGCTGGGGGATGCAGGCCCTTGTGGCTGGCCCCGCTTGGGCGATGTAGTCATTCTCCCTAAGACCCAGGAGACAGAAGAGTGTCCCGGGGCGGTCTCCCACCACGCTCTGGGGCTACAGTCTCCCACTTTGTCAGGCTCTTTTCAGAACTCTCAGGCATCCCCCAGTCACCACATACTGTGAGCAGGACCACCCTACTCAACAGTTGAGAGTTTTAACAGGAAGAAGAAAAAGCAAGAGGCAACTTGATCTGGACTTGAGAAGCTTCACAAAGGAGGAATCATTTGCAGCAGGCCTTCAGGGGTAACTGGTAGTTTGGCCACCTGACCTTGATCCTGAGCCCGCTGGGCTGGGCAGGGCATGGTCAAATTTGAGTGCTAGAACTCAAGCAGTTCGTAGGGACTGGAGGGAACAGGTGTTTCACAGAGGGAGGATGTGGAGGCCAGCGGACCTGAGCTGCTTGGAAAGTGAGATCAGTAGTCTTGGGCACTGCTCATGGAGGAGAGATGAGTCAAGAGGAGCACCCAGCTACTGGGCCTGGCTGCACGCAGCCACCACTGAGACAGGGCCCAGGAGGAAGGGGCTCTAGGGAAAAGAAGATGAGCATTTCCAGTGTGAGTGCAGGAGTCATGCAGGCAGGTGTCCAGAAGGCAGATGGAACCCTGGAGCCACAGTTTAGAGGAGAGGTCAACATGGTTTTAACATTCTCAAAATGTTTACATGGGGGAAGCTTTCCCACCCCACACCTGATCCAAAACACAAGAGGGAGAGGCCAGACCCCACCCACCAGGTTGAGGCAGGAAGACAAGGTCCAGAGAGGTAAGACTGTGCACAGGGTCACGCATCGAAGCCACATTCCTAGTGTTAGAATTAGGGGAAGGCGTCATGGTCCAATAGCTTTGAGGAAGGCTTTGGGACCAACCATGATGGGGGAGTGGGGACAGGAAACATGACCCCTGAGGCCCACTGGACCTGGGTCCTCATGCCCATAAGTGTGAGCCCTCCAGGGCTGCCCCGCCCCGCAGCACACACCTCTGCACCTATACCCAAGGTCAAAGAGCAGAAACGGGCTGGAAGGCAGGGTCCTGTCACTGACTTGCCAGGTTAGGTCAGGCAGGTTACTGCCCCTCTCTGGCTTCTCACCTGCACCCCTTTTTTCCAGGTAAGGAACAAACTTGGCCTCTCCTCTCTCGGGCAGCTAGGTATATGGAAAAGTCAGGGTGTTAAAACCAGGGTGAGGCTTTAGACAGCTGTCAGCAGGTCCAGCCTTGCTTCCTAGTAGCATGGGCTGGAGCTCTGCGCACACCCTCACATGCCACCTTTATCGCTGGCTTCTTGCCACCACCGCCTGACCGCAGAGTTCCCAAGCACACGTTTACGGGATGCCTCAGTCAGTCCCTCTTGCCTCAGGGCTGAAACCTCCAGCTGCCCCATCGCCTGCCCAGCAGGCACTTCTTCCTGTTTTCTGAAATTTCTGGGGAGGTAGGCAAGAGACCTGGATCGTTCCTAACGAACACCTGCTTTACGGCTGGGACTCTGCCGTCCAACTGTGGCCCCATCCAGCTGTGGCACTGGTGTCTGAGTCTAATGTCCTAGCTTCTCTCTTTGCCTATTTTAATAGCACCTGGTGCCCAAGACAAGCCAAGGGGGCGGCCAGGGGCCTGGGCTGACCTTCCAGAGAGGTCCAGTCAGCCTCAACCACCAGGCGGGAGGGGACCCAGGGAAAGTTTGGAGCAGGATCGAGGCTGTTTGTATGAGCCCTAACTCGAAGGGTGCGGGGTGGGTCCGAAGAGGCGAGGCTGGACCGAAAGAAGGAAAGGGCTGCTGCGCAGGCCCCGACCACCCCCACTCCCCAAATCTCCCTCTGCTGGGAGGCGGCGGCTGGAGCAGAGGAAGCACTTCCTCATTCCAGAGGCTGCGACTCAAGAACTTACGGGCCGGCGCCCGCCCCCCGCGGCTGCCCAGCTGGGGACTCTGAGGTCCGGGGAGGGAGGTGTTTTCCCAGGCTCCCACAGCCGAGACTTTTCTCCGTCGTCCTCCCTGTCTCGGCTGCTGAAAAGAGTCCAACCAGGGGCGGCAGTGCGCGGGGTTTCACTCGGTCTAGGGTTTCAAGGAGGCGCTTGGGTCCCAGGCCATCTCTGTTTTATGGCTGGGGAGGTTAAGGCCCCGCTCCGGGAAAACGGGGCCGGAGCCCAGGCCCCCCTTTGCAGGAGCCCCGGGTCCGACGTTTTGTCAACCTGTTTGGGGCATCTGTTTCACTGCTCTGCAAAATGGGGGCAAGAAAGGACCGGAAGGAGCCCACGCGAGAGCACTCACCACCACGGCGGTGACCGGCTGGCCCGGAATGTAGGACATCTCGACCCCTTGAAGTCCGCAGCGAAAATCAAGGCGGCCGCGCCCTCTCTGGTTAACAAAGACAGCCCAGCTAGTCCCGCCTCCTCATGAATAGTTAAAAATCTACTAGCCAATCATCGGCCGGAGCGCTGTTCCACATTCGGAAGTCATTGTGCGTGCGTAGAAAAGGAGGGAGGGGATGGAGAATGCTCAGGGCGCCCATAGCGCAGGCGCCAGGGGGCGGGGCGAGGTTTTGGCACATGCGCAGCCTGGGCCCTCCCAGCAGCCTCCAGCGGAAGATGGCGCCGTGGGAGTTTGTACCTCTGCCTGCCTGAGGAAACGCCAAGGGACTTGTGTCCGCCGCCGTGTTCCAGGTAACTAGGCGGAGAAGGCAAAGGTGCTCACTACCCTATTGGTCTGAGCCCTCAGCCTTCTCAGCATCTTTGAAGGTCTGAGACCCAGGAGTGGTGCAAAGTCTTGGAAGCCCCAGGGGGAGGGCGCGGCGTGAACCCAACTCGCCAAGCTCTGGGTGCCGCTTGTAACTTGGTTTTCTCCGCAGCTCCTGGTTGTTCCGTGAGAAAACACACGCTAAGCCCCGGGAGGTGCGATGGCCGCCGTGGTGGCCAAGCGGGAAGGGCCGCCGTTCATTAGCGAGGCAGCTGTGCGGGGTAACGCCGCCGTCCTGGATTACTGCCGGACCTCAGTGTCAGCGCTGTCGGGGGCCACGGCCGGCATCCTCGGCCTCACCGGCCTCTACGGCTTCATCTTTTACCTGCTTGCCTCCATCCTGCTCTCCTTGCTCCTAATTCTCAAAGCGGGAAGAAGGTGGAACAAATATTTTAAGTCACGAAGACCTCTCTTTACAGGCGGCCTCATTGGAGGCCTCTTCACCTACGTCCTGTTCTGGACGTTCCTCTATGGCATGGTGCACGTCTACTGAAATGGGGGCAGGGTTGACTTTTTTAAAACACCAAATTGGGAAGACTGTTCCCAGAAATTAACACCGTGTAGACTTACTTAGTTTTTAAAATTGTTGAATTCGCTGCTTGCTCTGTAACGTTATAAATTATATCTGAAGAGGAAGAGCCTGTAATATTCTTCAGATTAAATGAAGCGTGAGACACTTTGTGGAGTGTTTTCCTACCTTAATGAACACTCCCTATCTGTCATGGATGCCAAATCGCCAAGATTTGACTCCTGGACTGCTGGGACTGGGCCTTGTTCCGACTCATAGCGACCCCGTGTACAACAGAACGAAACACTGCCCGGTCCTCCGCCATCCTTAGCCGTCTGTAATTGCCTTCCATTTACGCGGAGACCATCCAAAGAGGGGCCGCTAAGGCCCATGGTAAAGAGAAGATTTACTGTTAACATCTAAGAACTAATAACAGTTAATATTGAACATTCCTCATATACCAGGCACTGCACCTTGTACTTTACACCCATTGTCTCATTTAATTCTCTCAATAACCTTACGGAGTTGATGTTATTGTTACCCCGTGTGGAACCTGAGGCTCAGAGAGGTTAAATACCTCTGCCCAAGAAGGCACAGCTAGGAAGAGGCAGAGCCAGGATTCAAATGCAGGCCTCTTAACTGCGCTTGCTCTATTGGCCACCGCTTCTTCCAGGTGTGAATGGTGTCGTTTCAGTTCCATTTCACTTAGTCATAAGAAAAAATAAACTCACGCTTATTTTTCTAAAATATTTCTAGTGAAGATTAAACTGAGACTGAACATTTAAGTTAAACTCTGGGCTGTATTAGAGTGTAAATGCCTCTGTGTGTACGCCAGTCTATGATCCCTTCTTGTCAGGAGGCCTATCTTAAAATAAAATTCATTTGCTTAATCAAGAAATAAATATTGCATTAGAGTTACATTAATGAACAAGAAGTTACTCGTGGAATATATAACTGGGGAGAACAGCATCACGTAATTCACAAATACTTAAATTCTGGCAAGTGCTATGAGGAGAATACATAGGCTTCCCAAACGAAGCCGAGGTTGGGGAATGGATATCAAGGAATGCTTGTCATGTTCATTTGAGACTGAAGATTAAATAACAGTCAAATAAAGTGTGGGGAAGGGGTTATTTGCAGGAAAGAGTGTGTGAGGGCCATTTGGCAGGAAGGAGTTTGGGCTGTATTTGGAAAATAAAAGAATAACATAACAGAAGAGGCCATGAGGTAGACCTGGATAGATCATGGAGGGCCATGTGGGAGTTTGGCCTTGATCCTAAGAGCAATGGGAAGAAGCCTTTGGGAATTTTATTTAGGAGCGATGTGATCAGATTTGGATTTTTAAAAAAGAATTTGTTGTAGATCAGAAGTGGACCCGGGAGCTTAAATCCAAGCCCCCTTTTACAGACAGCAGGTGACCCATGGCCAGTAATAAAAATAGAACTGGGATCCAAGCCAGATCTCCTGAATTCTATTTTGGATTCTGGGCCACAGCCAAGAAGCTGAGGCACAGTTTTGCCTCCCTTTCCCAATGACCTCTGAATCCTTTCTCTGCCCACTGAAGATCCTCACATTTCCTGGTTTGCACACCTCAGCCTCCCTCTGTTCTTTCTCAGGACCTTGTCTGAGTAGGAAAAAAGGGTGCATTCCTGTTGCAGAGGAGGAGGAAAACTAGGGGACAAGTGAGCTGCTGATTTACTCAACCATCCCTCTATTGTTGGGCACTGATGTTGTTTGAGATGTTCACTATTATAGAAAACATTACAATGAATGTCTTTATGTCTATATTGTTTTGAGGGCGTTTAATAAGCTCCTAGGGCAGAGGGTAAAAACTTGATACCAAACGCTTGCCAAATGCTTTCCAGAGTTTTTATCAGATGCACGCTCAATGAAAAGTACCAGTTTTATCAGTGCCTTCCTACCTTTAATTTTAATGTTTTCTCACTTAAAGAGTAAAATTAAATGCTTTCTCAACTTTAATTTGAATTTCTTTGCAAGATAACGAGGAACCTCATATCTTGCTTGCTAATTGTTTCTAGTGTCTGCCTCTTTTGGTCTCGCTTTCTCCTTGTGCCTTCCCCTGAAACACAGGTGACCGTGAAAGTTCAGGTATAAAGGGAGAGAAATCAGGACACATTTAAAGTTCACAGCTTTTATTGTTTCTATAACCAATTAGAATGTCTGAGAGAATACACATATTGGGCAGGTCCCAGAAAATGTCTGCCATCTTCCCCCGCTTAGTTATGTGTACTGGCCTGGGGGAAACAGCTGGCAGAGAAGTGAAGTCTTTTGGAGAGAAAGCATCCATGGGTTCACAGGATAGTATGTGCAGAGGAAGGCTGCATCACTGAAGTGGGGGGGCGGGGGGGGACGACCAAGTGGAGCCCTTTACCAAACATGCAAGGTGCCATTCCAAGTGGGGTGATTTAGAGACTCTGGGGCACTATAGCCCTTAGCTAGGGTACTCAAAGACACCTGAAGGTTATCACGGTCCCCCGTTACAACTGGCCCCAAGTGGGGCAGCCAGCCACTAAGAAACAGAACTGATTGGAGGGGGGCACGTAAAAAGGCAGCCGTGACTGAGCAGTCCTGATGACCCCTGCACCAGGAGTAGAGGGCACTCTACTTTTTCATTGCTGGTCCCCAGGACACTACATTGATAGCACCCAATTCACAAATTTCCCATTGGCCAGCATCCTGGTACCCAAGACATGGGATAACACAATCGTTAAGAAAATAGTAGGTGAGTGGGTTTGGGCTAGGGCCTGAACTTAAGCATAGACAGTTCATGTGATTCTCGAATATCAGAATGGAAGAGAGCTTGAGAAGCCTGCAGGCTCGTGTTTCTGCTGAGGCAACCAGCGCCCAGAGGGAAAGCGGCTTTCCCAAGTTTGAAAGGAGCTCAAGTTCCAGCTACACTTCTCCCCCATTTAAAAGCCAGTTTCTACAAGATGAATAAGCCTCCCACTCATGTACCAAGATTATGCAAAAAAGGGGGTGGGTGGGCTTGGGCTGTGCATAAAGCAAGGCAACCTTGGTAGAGTGTGCAACACTGTCCAGAGCTGTAAGGTCTTTCTGATCGCAGGTCCCTGACATCAAGTAGGGAAGGCTTTGCTAAACTTGAAGAAACAATGAGGTTGGATTAATCCTCTATGACAGTAATGTTTAATGGGGCAACCCTGACAATTAGGGCAAGTCAACCTGATTGAAAGAAAGCCTCACAAAACCAGTATGGATAACAGGTGACATGAAGCGGTGGGGGGAGGGGACATTTCCATAACCCTTCCAGAAACTTCCACTACTCAGTACTCTCCCTCTCTCCCTGTGAGCTCCAGTCACAACGGCCTCCATCCAGTTCCTTGATTGCGCCTTCCCAAGTCAAGCAATTCCTTTACACGTGTGGTTCCCTTGCCTGGAATGTTTCCCCCATCAACTAGTTAAACTACTAATCTTTCAGGTTTCAACTTTTATGTCACTTCCTTGGGGAAACCTCTGGCTACCCCTACTTCTCATTGTAAACTCCCAAAGCACCCTATTGAGTCTGTGATTATATGTGTGATATTCAACTGAGGTTCAACTCCCCACCAGACAGGACAGGAGCCGTGTCTTTTGCCCACCCTGTACCACCACCATTTAGTCCAACACCTGGCACACAGTAGGTACTCAGTAAACATTTACCGAATGACTGAACACATAACTAGAAAAACATTTCCATTCCAATATAAAACAAATAACGTGATTGTCCCTCAATTATATGGCTGCTGTCAAGCAATTCTAAAAACAGGTTAAAAGAAACAGACCAACTCGTTTGCAGCCAGGACTCAGAAATGACCCTGTCCTTTTTATTTCCTCCCACACATAAAAGTCCCATGCTAGGTTATGAAAGCCAGAGTTGGTTTTAATAAGGAAGTTACACCTCAAGTGGATTACTCCGACTTTTCACTTTCTACGCCGAGAATGGGTTGGGCTTGTTGACAGGTTACTAGACAACCTGAGGTGAGGGAGCTGCTTGCTCTAGAAGGGTTCCTGTTCTGTGGACCATGCCCCTCTGCCCCAGTGGTAGCCTTGCCAGGGACTTTCTGCCAGGCAGCTTCCAAGGACCCTTCTGTGTGCAGAGGAGAACCAGGCTCTCTGACAAAGGGAAGCCCCGGAGAGAAGCCCTTCCCAAGAGGATGCTCTCTTCCCTAGTTCCAGGGAGCCGCCCAGACAGAGCACCTGGGACTTTTCTGCTGAGTGGTTCAGACAACAGCGAGTGATGAGTTCTAGGTTTCTCGCTTCCTCAGATACCATGGGCTAAGGAGACATGAGCTAGCCTGGCTCCCAAACCCAGTGTATAAGCATATTTCACCGTGTCTGTCTTCTAACAGAGGAGACTTGGTCTTACACGCAGGCATCAGGAACGGTTCACTGCCTAAGTGAGCGGGTCACCAGGCAGGTTCTTCGCAAAGTAAGGGTGCCTCTTGGGACTGGTAACACTGGTTGCCTCCAGGGAACAGGGGTGGGTGGGAAGCTTTTCACCTGTCTAGTCTTCTGTACCTTTTGAATTTTAAATCATGTAAATATTAACTGGTCAAAACAATTTACATAAATTGATCTTAACACCACTTCCCCTGGGTGGGGGTGCTCTTGGTCTCAAGGTAGCACGTGTGTGAGTCTGACCTGGAAACTGGCTCCACCCACCAAAGCTGGCCTTTTCTTTCCTCAGAACCAGGGCTTCTCAAACTTTAATGTGCACACAAATCACCTTGGAATCTTGTAGGCTCTGGTTTAGTAGGTCTAGGAGTCCCTGGGTGATGCAAACGATTAATGTGCTCAACTGCTAACCAAAAGGTTGGAGGTTCAAGTCCTTCCAGAGGTGCCTCAAAAGAAAGGCCTGGAGATCTACTTCCAAAAAATCAGTCATTGAGAACCCTATGGAGCGCAGTTCTACTTTGACACACATGGTCACCATAAGTCAGAGTCAACTCCACAGCAACTGGTTTGGTAGGGAGGGGACTAAGTCTGCGTTTTTAACCAGCTCCCAGGTGACACGGATGCTGCTGGTCCATGGTCTGCCCTTTGAGTAGCAAGCCTTTACAGACACTGTTGGTGGGAAGCAGCAGAGTTCTGCAGGGTGGGGGTGAGGTAGGAACAGGGTGAGGAAAAGAGGGGCAGGGGTGAGAAGAAGCATCATTTTCTATCTTGTTTGGCCTCCCTAACAACCGCATACACTGGCCGAGTGAGCACTTCCCCATCCGTTATCTCATTAGCCCTTCATCAACCCTTCAGACCAAGCCTTTGAGGCAAGAAGGAGAGAAGCAGGTCAGGGACACCCAGCCCCACAGAACAGCAAGAGCCAAACCACACAGGCAAATGCATCTCTCATCCGGGCAAGACAGTGTGCCCAGAGCTCCCCCAGGCTAGGCGGGTCAGATGGGGCAGAGGCTTCCCTGCCTCCCCTCCCTCTATGACCTTGAAGCCATGGGGTTTGCCTCTCCCCTCAGGAGCCAGCTGCCTGCAGACTTCTTCCCTGGTTGCCTCCGCAGGGCAGGACCACATGGTCCCCTGGGGCGCTGGCCAAGGGCTTTCTCTGAGGGGCCATCATTCTCGACAGGGATTGTCAGTTCTCAGCTAGAGGCTGGAGGAAGGCCAGAGGAGCTGGGCCTGGCTCTGATGTGTCTGTTGTCTTCCCCTCCCTGAGGGCCTGGCCAGCATCTCATTTAAGCATCTCTTGGACAGGGCCCAGCCCTGAGCAGGAATCAATAAATCTTTACTGCATGTATGAATGAATATCCAACCAGGTTCTCAGAAAAAATTAAAACTACCCAGACCCTGGCCTGCCCTCCTCCCTAGGCAGAGCCCGCTAGTCTAGATCTGAACCTCTGTGGCCACTGGGAAGCTCCACTGCTCACACAACAAAAAGCTTGTAGCAAGATCCCGAGGTTCCCACAGAAGGCTGGGCCCAGAAGCCCCTTTCTCAAGCAACATGAAGATTCCTCTTCCCAGTTCAGAGCTGTGGGCTCTCCTGCCCCCAATGTCTTCACCAAATCTTCTCTCAGCCAACACCTCTGGCTATGTCTCCACTGCCTGCAGGGTCTGCAGCTGCTCCACATTCACCTTTCTTTCCTCCAGGTGGCCAGAACTGGGGAGAGGGGCACACAGAGGGCAGAGAAGACTGTGGGGGGGACTTGCGGACCCAGCCAGCCTACCTAAAGGCAGACATATGCAGCAGCCTCTTGCTGGCAGCACCGCGGGCAGCCCGAGCATTCAGAGGGGCTGTCTGTAGGGGTCCCTGGCCGCAGTCCAGACACATGCAGATGAGCTGTCCCAGAGACAAGCAGCAGCAGCCGCTATCGTGCCAGCCAGAGCCTTACACAGCACCAGATGAGACTGGGCCAAGCCCAGGCCAGTCCTCAATGCCAGCAAGGCGGCCATTCTTCCCCATCACAGGCTAAGAGTTCAGCGAGCGCCCAGGAAGAAACAGTCAGCCCAGGGAGCACCACCACTTGGGGGGCTGCAGACCCTGGCCCACCCCAGCAAGTCCCCTGCCTCCACTGCTTCCCTGCCCCAGCTGTGGTGGTTTCTCTGCCTTTCTCTCTTCACCCCTCTCCATCCCAGTCTGTTTCTCACTCCCTCCTGCCCACGTCCAGCTCCTGGCTGGAGGTCATCAAGGAATGGAAGCTGGGGACCAGAGGAAAGTCTCGCCAGGGCCAGTGAACTCAAGAGTCACCAGAGGAGAGTCACAGAGCCCTAGCCTATGTGAGAGAGAGGGGCCCGTTCCCAGCACCCACTGGAAAGAGGAAAACAAGGCCCAGCAAGGAAGCGCCAGGCACCTGCTCAAGGGCACACAGCAAGGCAGAGGCAGGCCAGCCTGAACTGGGCCTCCTGACTCAGCCAGGGCTCCCTGCCGGCACCAGGCTGAGGTCATATCCGCTTCTGGGCAGCACCCCAGGAAAGGCAGTCTGATGGTCACTGTCAGCACAGCCACCACCCTCCTGGGGCTGGGCAGCTCTAGAATTTCCACATAGATGAAGGACTTTGGGGAGTAATACAACTGGGGTGGGGGGAATAGGGGTTTGATAAGGCAGAAAACCCCAGTTATTAGTTGTTATTATTAGCTATTAACCTATACTAGAGATACAATACCTGAGTTCAAATCCCAGTTCTGCCATTTATAAGCTGCTGACTTGAGTAAGTTACTTAACCTTTCTGTGCCTCAGATTCCCCATTAGTAAAACGGGTAATAACGTATTAGTATCACTTCATTAAGTTGCCGAGAAGCTTAAATGAATTAATAGCTGCAAAGAGCTCAGAGCAGTGCTTGGCAGAGAGTAAGCACTGTGTAGATGATGGTATTGTTAGCTTGGATGGGCTCTGCTGGGTCCCTAACGCCCTGCCTTATGGCCAGGTCACGCCGGAGAACAGCCCACTGGGGCCCTGCCAGTGGTCCCCAGGCTGCCTGGGCACAGTTCTCGAGCTTTCCTGTCCCACATCCTGCAGCGCCCCTCACCTGGCGGGCTGGGCGCAGCCTTCGAGGAGCCGCCGGCACACGCAGCCGTCCCCATTGGAGCCGCCGCCTCGGTCCTGCGCCTCCTGCCGCTGCGGCAGCCCCGGCCTCTGCCCCTCAGGCTCCGCTCGCGGGCTCTGTTCGACGCCCCGCGGCCCCGGGCCTGGCCCCGCCGCATCCTTGGCCTCCCAGGCCCCGCCCTGCCGCTGAGACTCCACCAGCTGGGCGCGGCACTCCCGACCCCTGGGCAGGACACGACCTGTTAACCCTCGTTAGGCCCCAGGAGTCACGTGTGCAGCGCGGCCCTCCAGGTGGGTCCTGGAGAACCACTCGCCCTGCAGGGAGCGCCACCGTCTGTCACCCAGCAGCTGAGCCTGTGCCCTGGGGCTCGTGCTCCGGCCAGGAGATGGGTCAGGGCTCAGGGCTCAGCCTATAACCCGGGCTGACGTTCAGTCTGTGGATGGAGGTCATTTCATCCTGGGCTAATGACGCAGCTGACCTTCCACTCACTGTCCCAGGTTGGGGGGCGTGGCTGAAGGAGAGCCCAGGTACCTGTCCAAAGCTCACCATCTGCAATCCCCCATTCTGATCCCAGCTCTTCCAGAAAGTCTTCCCCAGGGGCTCAAGCCAGAGTCCCCTCTCCCCTTCCTGTACCCCCACAGGCATCTGGGTTTCCATCACACACTGCTCTGCCGCTCTGAGTATACCCACCACCAGCACCCTCACCACCGCCACCCTCACCACCACCCTCACCGCCGCCACCCTCACCACCAGCACCCTCACCACCACCACCCTCTTTTGAGGCTGTTCTTGGGCTGATTCTGGCCCCAGCTGTCCATAGAGCATGTTCTCAGAACGTTCCACCCTCCCCAGCCCTTTCAGGGGCTGTAAGCTACCCACGGTTACGCCCTGCCTCCACATCCCAAAGTGGGGACCACAAAATTTCCCCCAGGCCCCTGGGGAGGAAGCATAACTGACCTCACTTCCTCGTACTTCTTGCCACGATAAAAGTGGCTCTTTTTGATGAAGTAGATGAGTACCAGGTCACAGAAAAAAGCCCCCTGCAAAAGAGTTGGGGTCCCTGACTCAGAATCCTAGACTTCTGGAGAGCACCTGCTGTCGGCCAGTCACTTGACATACTTCATACTGTGTGATCCTGCAGCAATCCCATGAGGGAGGTGCTCTAGACTGAAGAGTGTCCTCCAGAAAGATATGTTGAAGTCCTAACCCCTGTACATGTGCACATGACCTTGTTTGGAAATAAGGTCTTTGAAGATGTTCTCAGTTAACATAAAGCCATAGTGGAGTAGGGGGGTCCTAATCCAATATGAGTGGTGCCCTTATGAGAAGACACACAGACACACAGAGGGAAGAAAGCCACGTGGGAGAGCATGGCCCAGCCAACACAGTGATTTGGACTTCTAGCCTCCAGAACTGTGAGAACAAAATTTCTGTTCATGTAAGCCGCCCACTTTGTGGTATGGCCCTAGGAAACTAAGACGGGGGTATCATTGGCTCCATTTAATAGATAAAGAAGCTGGGCTCAGAAAGGAGCACGCGTGTCCAAGGCCAGAAGGCTGGTCCGCGGTAGAACCAAGGTTAGAACCAAACGCCATCGGATTCCCTGCACCGTGCTGACCCTATCAGCATGTGTTTGTTGAGCACCCCCCACCTGCCAGCCACCGCACCAAGGTGCAGAGAGAATTAAAACAATGCAGACCCCCTGGGACCCTCTCTCTGGTGCAGGAGACAAGCATGTCAATTATGAGCAAGTTCTCCAAAGGGGAGGCGAACAAGGGGAGCTGAGGGAAGACAGGGCTTTACTCAGCCTGGGGAGGAATGTCTGGGTGAGTCTTGAGGGTTGAACAGGCATTAATACAAGGTAAAGAAAGCTGGGGACAGACATTTTAGAGCTAGGAACACCCGGGAAACTCCACAGGGACTGTGGGGGGAGTGCTGGAGACACTTCCAAAGAGGTAGGTGGGGGCCAGCATCTGTTCTGGGCCTGAGCAGAAATGGAGGTGAAGTCATTGAAGGGTTCTGAATAGGGGAGTGAAATGGGCGTTTTAGAAAGATCTCTCTGGTAATCAGCGTGAGAGATAGACTAGAGGGGATCTAGACCTGACCAACAAGGAGGCTACCTACAGACATGGTAGGTAGACAGGCGAGACAGTGGGGCCTGAACTAACCCATGAGACCCACCACATCGAAACACAGGCACTTCAGTCCAGATCAGGTCATGCAAATGCCCATCTCCTCCACCAGAGGGCGACTCCACCCACAGCACAGGGTCTAACCAGGGGAAGTTTGCTGAAGGACTGAGGGGGGGACATTGAGGGTGAGGGTGGGGAGGAGGGTGATGGATGGGCCATTAGGTGAACCAGGTCCCCTGATCCTAGGCACTGCACACCTTCTTCTTTCCCCAGATGCGAAAAATGCTATTTATCAATTCTTCGTTCCATTGCCCCCACCTCCCCACCCCACCCTGGAGCCTCTACCGTACCTTTTTCCTGCACCATTACCTTTAAGTGTCTCTCTCCCAGATCCCTCTGTTCCAGTTTAACCCACATCGACAGCTGAGGGTGGGCTTCTCTCTAAGAAAGCTACATACACAAATAAATACCCACAGCTCCCTAATGAGGATTGTTGGCAGTTAAAAGTAATTCATTGGGGATCACTTCTATCTACCACTTTCAGACACATGGCCTCTTTGAGTTCTGTTACAAGACACTTTTGTTTTGGTCTCAATGAAAAGTAAATCCTAGGTCCCCACAGAATCTCTAACGGGCTCTTCTGGCCACACGGCAGAGGAAGGAGGAGAAGGCTGCCAGAAACCTTGGAAAGGGGCTTCTAGGGTGAGCACGACCACTCACTACTGACTTCCACGTCTTTGAAAACAACATCCAGAAGGACAAAGGAACAATACAGAAATTCTGATGAAACCTTTCCTTGCCCTCCAGCCACTGCTCACTCTTCTCTGAGCCCCTCTCAGTCCAGCGAAAGGCGGCCTCTAGGAAGGATTACAGGGAGTCCCAGGTGCAAATGGTTAATGTTCTCAGCTGCTAACCGAAAGGTTGGAGGTTCGAGTTCACCCACAGGCACCTTGGAAGAAAGGTCTGGCGATCTACTTTCAAAAACTCAGCCACCGAAAACCCTGTGGAGCACAGTTCTATTCTGACACACGTAGGGTGGCCGTGAGTCAGATTTGACTCAACAGGAACTGGTAGGAAGGATTACAGGGCTATCCTCCCCCATGGGACATTGAGCAATGTCAGGAGACATTTGTGGTTATCACAATTGAGGGGTGCTACTGGTGGGTAGAGGTCAGGGATGCTGCTAAACATCCTACAATGCACAAGACAGTCCTCACAACAATTATCACGTCCTAAGGGTCAGCAGTGCTGAGGTTGAGAAACCCTGTAGAGCCTAACCCTGCCTCCTTTTGGCAGAGGTGGAGATGGAGGCTTCAGAATTTCAGGGGCTGACCTAGGATCCCGGAGACCCCCAACCTACACCATGGCAGGGGGCTGACCCAAGCCCCACCTGCAGCCCCAGGCTCCGGAAAGAGGAACTCCGGTAGTCACTGCCACCTGGGGCTGCTGGCAGGGAGTGAAATCCCAGAAAGCCCTCCGCCTCCATGTACTCGGATCCCACCGGCTCTCGCTCTTTCTAGGGCACTGGGATGTGTGACTGCTGGGCACTCCTCCCTGAGGAGCCCCAGGAAGGGGGAAAGGAGGAGAGAGGTACTCACCGCCCCCATGAGCGCCACGCCAGAGCTCACGTTGATGACAGTGGGGATGATGCTGAACTTCCCTGCCTGGAAGAGAGAGAGGAAGGCAGGGTAGACAGCAGGGTCCCCAGAGACTCCAGCCCAGGGTCCCTTCCAGCCCCCTCCCCCCCAACCCCCCATGGCATCCTGCCCAGCCTTAGAATGGGAGGACCATCCCACACACCTTGCCATTAACCATCACATCAAAGCGGATCCCGTAAGCTTTCATAAGGGTGCGGAACTCCACCCCAGATGCGTCTCGGTAATATTTGGCAAACCTGGGGGAGACAGGGCCCAGGGGAGACCTCAGTCTGGCTGGGCCTTCCTGTTCAGGGCTTCAGGGAGAGGACAGGGAAGCACTCCACAGACCCTGACTCAGAGTAGCCCCAGGGAGGTTACAGATCGTCTCATGGAGCGAAGTCCAAAGATGCATCCAGATCTTTGAAATCCCTGCCAGGCAGTTCCCAAGGAGCAAGGGCTTTCCCACTCCGCCCTGGGCCAGCCCCTGGCCATCAAAGCACCCATGGTATCAGCCCAGCAGACACTCCTCTGTCCTCTCACAAACCTCTCAGCCGCTGTCCACGGCCACTCAGCCAGGATACATGCCTCCCCTCGCCGTGTCTCCCGGCACCTCCAGCCCTGGCTCCCATATGCCCAGCCCTAGGCAGGGAGTCATAGCGGCCGACACCCAGAAAGGACATGATATGCAGCCAGGGTCACAAGGCGGTGGGCCTAGCACCCAGTTACCTGAAGTTGTACCCAGAGGAGATGGACTTTTCTGCAAATCTGTTGTCCAGACGGCTGAAAGAATACTGAGGGTTGCATTCAGAGGAAGCCTTATCAAGATCACAGTCCCATTCAATGTGAATTCCTATCACACCGCCCTTGATGAAAGAAAGACAAAGGTCAGTGCACAGAGCTTTCTGGAGATGGAGAGATGTCGCAGACTGGCCCTGCAGAGGAAGGGGAAGTGCTCAAGTAAGGGGTCTGCCCTGCTGGACCATCCTGCAGGGAGGGAGGTGGTGGGCACTCTGGAGTGACTGAGAAAACTGCACCACAGACAGCCCCAGCCCCACTGTCTTCCCTGTCCACGCACCAGGGGAGGAGAGAGCTACCCCAGGCCAGCACCTACTGTGGACA